CGCGTGCATATTCGATTGACGGCGTTGTAGTGGTTGGAAGTAGGATGACGAGTGGTAACGTTGGATCATGGCCATAATGCAAATAAAAGGGTGAATAACCAGTGGTGTCGTGGTGCGAAGAATTGTACGCGAAGATCACGTGACATAGCGCCAGATCCCAGTCATGGTGGTCGGAGGACACATAAATCGCAAGCATGTCTGTGAGGGTGCGATTTAGCCGTTCGGTAAGGCCATTTGTTTGAGGATAGTAGGAAGTGGTCAGCTTGAGCTGCGTCGAGGAAGAGCGCAGAAGACCGTCGATTACCGGGACAAAAATGCGTGGCCGCGATCCGTGAGTAATTGGCGAGGAGCGCCATGGTGTAGGATGACATCGTGGAGCAAAAAGTCAGCAGCGTCAGTAGCGGTGCTGGTGGGGAGCGCTCGAGTGATGGCGTACTTAGTCGCATAGTCTACAGCAACGGCGACCCACTTGTTGCCCGATTTCGACTCGGGAAAGGGACAGAGAAGATCTATACCAACACTAAAGAAAGGTTCGGTTGGGATGAAAATCGGTTGAAGAAGTCCAGCCGGGGCTGCAGTAAGTCGCTTCCTACGTTGGCATTTATTACAGGAGAACACGTAACGGGGAACGAACCGGTCGAGACCGCGCCAAAAGAAGCGGCGACGCACGCGGTCGTACGTCTGAGATACACCCAGATGACCAGCAGTAGGTTCATGGTGAAGCTCGTGCAGCACGGTTGAACGCAAATGTTTCGGCACGACAAGAAGGAGCTCAGGGCCATCTGGCTGAAGCCTACGACGGTACAGCGTGCCATTCAGAAGGACGTACACGCGAAGCGACGTGTCGTTCGGAGCAGATTCGAGACGGTCAATGAGCTGTCGCAGAGAAGCATCACAAAGTTGTTCCTCACCAATCTGAAGAAACTGGGACACTGATATGATGCTGAGGCTAGGCTCGATGATGTCTGGTTCGTCGGGCTGATCATCAGGGTAGCGGGATAAGCAATCGGCGTCCAGATAAAGATGTCCAGACTTATAAGCAACCGAGTAGGAATACTCCTGAAGGCGTAATGCCTAATGGCCAAGTCGTCCAGAGGGGTCCTTCAGAGAAGAAAGCTAACACAGCACATGATGATCTGTGATGACACGGAAAGGGCAGCCATACAATTAAGGACGGAATTTCGAAACCGCCCAGACAAGGGCGAGATATTCCCGTTCTGTTACAGAGTAATTGCGTTCAGACTTAGAAAGCAGACGGCTTGCATACGCGATTACACGGTCGTAGCCCCGCTGAATTTGTGCCAAAACTGCACCAATTCCGTGACCACCCACCTCTGTTCGCACTTCTGTAGATGCATCGGTGTTGAAATGTGCAAAAATAAGAGGTGTCATTAGAGCGGTGATTAGCTCAGAGAAGGCGTCAGCTTGAGGAGGGCCCCAACAAAATGGGACGTCTTGTTTGAGAAGGTCGGTGAGTGGCTATGCGAGTGCCGCAAAGTTTTTCACGAACCGGCAAAAGTAGGAGCAGAGACCCACGAAACTGCGAGCATCATGGACAGTGCGTGGGACTGGGAAGTTTGTTACAGCGCGTACTTTTGCCGGGTCTGGTCGTACGCTGGCAGCGTCAACAAGGTGACCCAACACGGTAATCTGACGAAGACCGAAGTGACACTTGGAGGAATTGAGCTGCAGGCCGGCCCGTCTAAATATGGATAGAATGGTAGAAAGGCGTTCAAGGTGGGTTGCAAAGGTAGGTAAGAAAATGATCACGTCGTCCAGGTAACACAAACATGTCGACCATTTAAATCCTTGTAGGAGCGTGTCCATCATTCTCTCGAAGGTCGCTGGAGCGTTGCAGAGACCGAAGGGCACGACCTTGAATTGGTAAAGACCGTCAGGGGCAACGAAGGCGGTCTCTCTCGGTCAATGTCATCTACAGCAATTTGCCAATAGCCAGATCGGAAGCCGAGAGATGAAAAGAAGGTGGCGCCATGGAGGCAATCAAGGGCATCGTCAATGCGTGGTAGAGGGTACACGTCTTTTTTGGTAATTTTGTTGAGGTAACGATAATCAACGCAGAAACGCCATAAGCCATCTTTCTTCTTTACTAATACCACGGGAGATGCCCAAGGGCTCGTTGATGGTTCGATTAAGTTTTTTGTAAACATTTTCGCCACTTCTTTCTGAATCACTTCTCGCTCGGATGCTGACACGCGGTACGGCTGACGGTGAATGGGCGCCGGCTCACCAGTGTTGATTCAGTGAGTGACAATTTAAGTCCGGCCCAAGGGACAATCGTCGGTGTCGAAAATGTCACTGTATGAGGCCAAAACCTGGCAGAGAGCGTCGGCCTGGTGAGGCGACAGCTCCGATCTAATCATGTTTCGAAAAATACCATCGTCTGAGCTGGGGGACCACGAGACTGCGCTTCGATCAGGAGCAGATACAGCGACAACACTGACATCGTCCTCTGTTATGGCAGTTAGCTGGGCTAGAGGCATATGGCAAGGCAACACTTGAGGGGTGAAACCAAAGTTAAGGAGCGGAAGGAACACACAGTTATGCGCTACGGTCGCGATGATATGGGGCACAGTAACACTGCACGTCAACCGAACGTCAGCAATCAGCGTAACGATATAATCACCGTCAGGACGGGAGGGGCCGATGACAAAGACACGTATGTGACGGCTCGAGTGGCAGGCGAACGAAAGTGGTTGGGCTCAAGCGGCTGGTGGGTTTTGCAGAGTAGTCGGCAAAGATTGGCAGATCGAGGCTGAGGGTACCAGACGAACAATCAATTAAGGCCGAGTGTGCCGAAAGGAAATCAAGGCCAACTATAAGGACATGAGGGAGCAGGCTAGCACGGCAAAAAGGACCATGGCGTGACAACCGGCAATGCTAACACGAGCAGTGCACATTCCGATTACTGGTACAGTACCGCCATCGGCAACACGTGTTGCCTGCGTCGTAGACAGCGTCATATTCTTTTGTAAGTGGCGGCGTAGAGAGGAGGAGGAATAAATGAGGAAGGACAGGGAGGTTAGCCAGTTCTCAGACCGGCTGGCTACCCTGTGCGGCGTAGAGAAGCACTCATAATAGACAGGTGCGCGCCTGTGTCCATGAGGGCGGTCACAGGAACATGGTCGACTTGTACTTCAAGCAGGCTGTGGTGCGTGGGAAGCGTCAGTAGAGGATTTTCGGCCGTCATCGGTATTGCAACTTCACCTCTATAACCTGCAATATCTAGTTTTCCTGCTGCAGTCGTCCAGAGAAGCTGGGCAAGGAAAAGCGCCGAGGTGGCAGAGAGCAGGATTGGTGACATAGCGGCGATGGGGAGCGAGCGCTGCGGCGACCGGGCAAAGGGGCGTTCAGTGGAATGCTCGCAAGATGACGACGAATGGAAATTGAAGGGTCCGGCGAGTGAACGTCCAGGGGTCGTCGGATGCATGTGCACCGAGGTAGAGAAGGTCTGACGTGGTTGGTTTGACCAACGGTGGCGGCAATAGCGAGAAACGTGCCCAGGCTAGTCGCAGGAAAAACAAATAGGCTGGTCGTCAGGTGTTTGCCATTCCGAAAGGTTACGGAAGGGTATTGTTGGAGGTGAACGGTGAGCGTGTCCTGGGGAGTAAGATGGGACTTCAGGGCAAGTCAAGGGACATGCTGATGGAATGCCAAGGTTTGCAAACTCCTGCCTCACCGCAGATTGTATTAACGCCACTGACAACTGTTGTTGGTCAGAGGCGAGCGTTGCGAAAACTGGTGGCTGAAGAGGAGCCGGACAGGCGGCTTCGATTTCCCGACCAACAATCCGTGTGACGTTGTCATACGTAGGGGACTGGCGGGTGGCTTCACACGATGAGGTTGTGGCCGTGTTGGGCAGCCGGGTGAATCACTGAGTAATGGCGGCTCTTGGCTTCTTCAAATTGCTGGCACTCTTTAATGATGGCGTCGACGGTGGCAACGTTGTTGTATACTAGAAGATTAAAGGCGTCGTCTGCTATGCCTTTCAGCACATGGTCCACTTTCTCAGACTCACTCATGTGATCGTCAATCTGGCGGCAAAGGGCGATGACGTTGTGAATGTACGCGACGTACGACTCCGTCGACATCTGTGCACGAGCCGCCAGTTGATTCCGCGCTGCGATCTGCCGCCCAACGGTGTCGCCAAAAAGGTCGCGGATCTTCTCTTTAAGAAGCCTCAGCTTGTAATCTCCGCTTCGTGCGTCTCGAACCACACTCGCGGTGGGCCATCGAGGTAAAAAAGCACATTGGCAAGCATAAGAGTCGGGTCCCACCTATAGCTTGCGCTGACCCATTCGTACTGGTTGATCCATTTGTCGACGTCAACGCCATCCTGACCGGAAAATACACCGGGATCACAAGCAGGAGGTAGAACGACGTATGTAGAAGTCACGCAAGGGGCAGGTGGTGAAGACGATGGTTGTTCAACCTGTGACATAGTTGGACCTATGATAATGCGGCCGTTGCGGAGCTTCGTGATAAAGACGGGAAAGTACCCAGCAGTTCACGACAAAGATGTTACGTAAAAATGACACAAGGCATGTCTATTTAGAATCTATATTGAAACTGATGCGTATAGCGTCGACTAAGATGGAGGACAGCATGCACAACCGACAGACCACTTGTTTGTTGTCGTCTTCTGACCCCTGATATGTCAGCTACGTAGCAATATCATAGTTGAAATCAAGAAAAAAATGGACATGGGCATGTAGCACGTAGACAGGATAACCGCTGGTCATTAAGGGTAGCCAACTGGATTCCTAGAGAAAGCAAGCAGGTTAGGAGAAGACAAAAGGTTGGGTGGGCAGATGAGATTAAGAAGTTTGCGAGTATAAATTGGTAGCAGAAAGCACAGGACCGAGTTGACTGGTGGAACTTGGGATAGGCCTTTGTCCTGCAGTGGACATAGTCAGGCTGCTGCTGATGATGATGGTGGTGGTGATGATGATGATGATGATGTAGAGTTGCATGTGACTAACCTGCCATGCTGTGGTGAGTTGTAGGAACCATGCTGCTCTTTGGAATCCCCCATGTAAGCTTGGGTGTTCAACTGGGTGCCTACACCACTTCCTTGTGTGCCAGGAGGCACCAATCGTGGCATGATGTTGCGCAATGCAGTCACTGCAGAGAACACGAAGGCACCCATGCAGGATAATTACTAACAGAACACCGTGAAAGGACCCAAATGTGTGAATTGGCCATAAGCAGCCAAAAAAGTGCAACCTTCGCACAGTGCCCATTCTGCAAACTCACTCTGCTATATAAGTGTTATTAAAGATCAAGCTAGGTGTATCATTATACACATATAAGTAAGCCAAGGCTTTAATAACAGTATTTACAAACAAAATTTCAAGTCTCGCATGTCTTCATTCAAAACTGAAGCTATTTGATTATAAGTCAGAGTGTAAGTTTACGCTAAAGTAATGAAAAGGTGAAACAAGTGGCCTCCACAGTTGCAGACTAAGTACATAACTGTATTTTAGTGACTGCCTATAAAGATAAATCACGCGTCTCTATGAAAGAAGATGAAAGACAACATTATGTAAGGCAACAGAATTTTTTTCCCATTAGTTTCCTCATATTAAAAACTGCGCCAGTTGGAAGTTACTTTATTCCTAAAAAAAACAATTTACCTAGATAACGTGTTTCAACATTACCATGATTTGAACAGTTGGCTTCAAAGATTATTTATATACATAGCCAACAGAAATCAATCAAACCAATGCAACAGGTTAAACAAGGTAGCAGGTTGCAATGCAAAAGTAATAAGAAACAATAAAATCATTTGTAGAAGCAAGAAAAGGCACACCACCAACATTCACATTACGAGAGTTGCTTTCTCCAAATTAAGCTATAACAGCAACTGTACCTCTCCGCCCTCATCTGCCTGTGGTATAAGCACACAAATATACCTCAATGTGGTGTCTGCACCACCAGAGGCAGAGGCAAGTTATCAAGAAGAGGAAAAATAAACAACCAACCGTCTGCAGCACAAAGCCACAAGAAAATCTCTACGGATTTCTCAAAAAGAAAACTTCTTAGTTGCCGAAAAATTCGTCCTGGTTTGGAGTTCAAACCTAGAACCAACGCCTTTCTGGGGCACATGGACACACGTAATGTGAAAATTGCATTACTTCTGTCCATATGCTTTGAGCTGGTGAATTCACCCTCACATACAACTTTCCATTTCATTGCTTGCTACACAGTCTTTAACTTTCTATTGCATTTCCAAACACTTTTGGCTTCAAGGACAGCAGCGAGCCAATGATCGAATTTTGAGGATGTCTAAAAACATACACCCAGGGCTATGTTAAAAAAACAGACACATGCAAAAAAAGTGAACAAGGGGAAGGGGGACTGTTGTGATTGAATGCTAAAATGGCTTGTATTTCTGTGCAGCACCACAGATTGAATGTAGTGCTGGGAAGAAATTCTCTGCAATGATGCTTGCATGCAATGTCTGCTTGGTTATAGTAGACAATGTTGCACTGTTTCTTCATCACAATGGTGGCAGAAGCAATTCTGATTTCACAGAGAGACAACTTCAACATTTTGCAAAATCTTCGTAAATCCTCACTTGGCCTAAACTAAATTAATTACTTTTAAACTTAAACTTAAAAAATTACTTAAAAGCACAATTACTTTTTGCATAGAAGAGTGAAGGCTTGGAAAAAAAAGAAGACAACATAGAAGACACTCTTCTATGACAAATGTAAAATCGATTGCCCAAAAATTCATTAATTTGACTGCATTACAACGTAAGAGGGTATCAAGAATATGTTGCTGAAGCCTATGGCAACGCAAAGGTCTTGCGCAGCCGTGCAAATCCACTCATAAGACAGCAAACGATTGCCTGGTTGACTTGATGCGACATGCTTTTAGTATTACCATAATCTTGACGATCACAACATACATTATGCATGATTATGCATGACGTGTTTCCAGAGTTTCAGTATGATTATGCGGTCTGTTAACTGCATTTAAAGAGGTGGTAAACAAAGGGATGAACAGCACGTATGCAAGGCATCTATATAAAACTGCATCTACGTTGGCCACAGCTATAGCACACAGGTAAGTGTTTTCGGACCACATTATCACTGAAGCACAAAACATGCATTACGCATGTTGTGATCGATCACCATTACTTTCTATAACATTTCACTCTAACTAAAAGAAATATGCATAGCTTAGCAATTTCCTTTTTGATTGCATCTGTGCTATATACATAGCCTCGTTTGGATGAAGCATGCTACCCTCTTTTACACCATTTATACAGTGAATTGGAAAACCTTTTTCAATGCATAATAAGAATAAAAGGAGCAAGAAAGACTAGTAATGCCTAAATGTGAAGCTGCACTAAATATGGAACATTACAAGAGTTCTAAAAAGCCTATTGTACAGCACATGACTTGCACATGACATTTCTATGAAAATACTAAAAGGGGCACTAAATAACATTGTTAGGGAATTATTTTAAAACATTAGTTCTATATATCAAAGTAAAAGCCTTATGTCAATATACTCTTGGTCATTAAATTTTACACCACAACAGCAGTACCTGCACACTAAGACCACGCACTCACCGTTGCATTCCTATCACTGCAATATCACAAAATAGCACATTTTAGAATGCTATACTTGAAAACCGAACTTTTTCAGAATATTACTCCTGAACAGATGGCAAAAAATAGTGTGCAGGTAAAAAGAAATAACAAGATATGCCAGAATGTCATTACATGCACTCCTATTTCTCTCCTAAAACAAAAAACTAGCACAAAGATAGAACGTTTAATGGCGAGCCCTTTCATGCTCAGAATAATGCCCTTTTCTGGCTACTCTGCAAGTGCATTTCGAATGAACACCAAATATTTAACGTTAGGAGAATGGTGTTCTTTTCGGCCAATTAAACTTGTGGCAATGCATTTGTTGAAACAGACACCACTCTTTTAGATTGCTTTTCTTCAAACGCAGCTGCCCTAACAGCAGGATGGCCATACTGGATGTACATCAGCATGAAAGGACACAAACAACAATCTTCGACATCCAGGCATTTACATTATCACAGGGTGTCACGATTGCATTTGTCATGCTCTCACAGAACTCGCAACATAGTGGGAACCATTTGATGCAGTAGGATGAACACAAAAAGGAACATCCGAAAAAAAAGTGCGACTGTTCTCTTTTCTGTCCAAATCGTTCCAGCTTATGTTCATATGAGTGCATGTGCCATGATTCCCACCATAGACATGCAGCAGCTCACTCAAAAAAGAAGTCCACAAAAGCCCACAAATATGTTGTCCCAGCTGCACTTTACTGCAAGAGCTTGCAATGAGACATGCATATGATGACATTCTTAATGTGCACAAAATTTCTCTGACAAAACAGGAAGCCAGGGATGTAAAATGGGCTGCTGAAGAATGTCCTCTGAAAAATATGATCACGTTAGTGAAAAATGAGGGAAACCAAAACAGCCATATGCACACAGTCTGTTTCCGGAGTTGTCAGAACGAGTACGTGGTCTGCTTACTTCATTTAAAGGGGTGGTAAATAAAGGGATGAATATAAAGCATACCAGGCATCTATGTAAGCACATTGCATCAATGCTGGCCTTAGCTATAGTAGGCAAGGAAAGATTTTTTGGGCCACATATTCACTGAAGAGAGGTACACACTGCGAAGCACTCCACCACGGCACTAAAAACATCATCTTGATGCTGTGGAATGCATGTGCAAACCTGGAACACAAGAAAAAAGGAGTCATCAGAAGAAGGGTAAGGAGAGCATAGACACAACAATTTTGTATCTTGTTCTTTTTTCTGTTCCTGTAAGTAGCTAGCGAGCCACTCATGAAGGTAGGAAGGCTCGCTTGCTCAAGCGCACAATGGTGAATTACTTGGAATAGTTTTATAGCACCCAGTCGCAGTTTCGCTTCTATAGAGGGCATAGTGAAGCGGGACCCAGAGTGGTTTCCATGTAAGCATAGCTGGCTGCATAAGCACACAAAACTACGTGCACATGAGCACTGCATTGGCATCTTTTTTCAATGAAGACTTCCTGTGTGCTGCTATTCGATTTCGAGATTGAGCTTAGTCGCTGTCTAACGGCCACTGGTTGAAGCACGCTTAATGAGGATTGCTCCCTGCTTCATCTGCTAGCCACACAAGGCTAGAACACACGCGTACGTGATGTTCATCTGCAAATGGAGGTTTATCCTGCTCTGTCAGCACAATTTTACCTGCTTGTACGTTTGCCTGGCACTATCTACAAAAGCATTTGACCTTGTTCAGCTGCATATGCTCTGCAATATAATTAGTTCGCACACTTGTTGAGAGTGCTGTGTATTGTCATCATACCGTCAATTCGCCTGGAACATTTCCGCATAGGTGCTGCTTTGCAGTTGAAGCGTAGTGCCCTTGGTGTCATCCCAAGCATGAAGAATATTATATATCGTTCGATTGCAGCGTTTTAGTGACTCGTTAATAAACTAAATTTTGCTTGCTGTGTGTGTAACTGCAGCACTGCTTAACGATTATGCAATGAGTTTGAATTGTGCTTTAAATATATTTTTATTGTACAGCGCTGGTCCCGCTAGGTACAGTGAAATATTCCTTTAAAGTAAGTTCCAAAATTCGGTACATAAATTGTTCCTTAAAAGAACAGAACACGAAGTGTCACGGAGGTAATTACACTTGAGTCGCCGTGTGCAACTTGAACTTTGGGCAATATGACTTGAGTTCACTTTAAAGAATCCAGACGGTCAATTAATCCAGATCATGTTCCCCAGTTATATAGTATGTTAATGCAAAATGTCTTTTTTTAAATAGCGAAAACTGTTATAAGAGGGTTGTGTGTGGCGCCGTAGTTGTCCGCCACTACCACCACCGGTGTCCGTAACCACTATTCCATGAAATAAGAAAAAGAACTTGATAAACAAAAACACCAAGGACACACTGGGATTCGAACCCAGGTCCTCTGCATGGCAGCCTAGTATTCTACCGCACAGTAATGCCCGTGCTTGAAGCACCATTGAAAACTTGCCTTGATGTCGGGGAAGGCTTGATGTCGGGGAAGATATTGAGTTAGCATGAGTCATAAAGCGTTTTAAAGCAAAGGAACAACCAGCCGTCACCGGATGCAAATTGTGTAACGAGTGGGTCATCCAATGCATCAAGTCAACACAAAAGCTTGTTCGTGATCACCTGTTAACTGTGGCGCATACCCACATCAGGCATAATTCTTCGTCGTCATCCACTGCATAAAAACTTTGCACAAAATTTCTTGCAAGTGTCTGGTGGGTACAACACTTCTCCGAAGAATGACAAAGGATAGCATAGCGAATGCTGGCCTACTACACAAAAATTATTATGATTATTGGCATAGTGGGTACCCACCAAGTGTTCTTGTAGCAATTACCCAGAGGGTGTTCTGAAAAGGTTCTGAAAGGCTGCTCTTCCCACTTTTGCTGTGACTGTGCTGCGTGCTTTGCACAGGCCAGGCAGTTTTTTTTCTTACATCCTCTTGAGTGCCTTTGTGGCAGTGTTATCGACTGACAGAAAAAGTGGACATTATTTGCTTTAAAAAATACTTTTGTCCCATCAATAAACAAACCTTTCTTGCATCACTATCATATGCAGGTAACCAACAGAAGAAAGCTGCGTGCTGAACTGTTAACTTTATATACCGTGGAGGGTTCCGGAAATTTCGACCACCCGGGGTTCTTTAACATGCACCCAAATCTTAGCACACGGGCCTACAACATTTCCGCCTCCATCGGAAATGCAGCCGGCGAAGGCGGGATTTGAACCCGCGACCTGCGGGTCAGCAGCCGAGTACGTTAGCCACTGGACCACTACGTCGGGGCTAGGTCATGCTTGAGTCACCTGAAGTAATGTGAATATTAAGATGGTCATCGTGATACTCAAAGTGAACTCACGCAGTTTTTGATCCTATAGCAGCTGATTCACGTGTATATTTGCACGTGTACCTTTGCACAAGTCTATACACTGATCATATACTTTTACTTTTTGCCTAATGGTGACGGATCCCACTAACGATAGCCAGAATATTATCAGTGGAGTGATATAGGTGGTTTCAAACGGGGAACTCTCGGTCGTGATCGAATTTCCTGGTCACACGAATAGCCCGAGTAAGCTTCGGAAAGAAGCCAATCACCACCAGAAAATATATTCGATACCGATCACCCCTCGATCGAAAGCGCAGCAAGAGACAGTAGCCCACGCAGAGACCATTAATTCGTTCCTTGACGAGAAGTACGCGACAAAATGCCCTTTCCTGGTGAAGTGATATGATCGCACGTTAATTGGCAACAATAACCATCGTGTTTAACTGCCACTGAGGCGAGTGCTAATAACAGGGAGCACGTGCTGATAACGGCGGATGTTCGCCGACACGAGCGCACGCACAAAGTGGTTTCTTTCGGATCCTCTGAGATGTCACCATCGTAACAGGCCGTGCAGGTATCTCGATGTAGGCACAGCGGGACGACTTCACAGAGGTTCAGAAAAGATACACGTTTGTTCTCTCGGATACAGTTCCTCGTTGTCTCTTTTCCTCCAGTGAAATCCGGCACTAGCGTTCGGCGCCGCGCACTTCACGAACACACGATAAATCGCACGTTTCCAACCGTGCCATCAGAGCGCGCGCAAACGGCCTTTACGCCCTTCACAAGTTTTCACGCGCTTGTGGTTGTTTCACTTTCCGCATTCACGCATTAATCCGAAAAAGCGTCCATAGATGAAGCTGTAGCGTTTAACTGCTAAAAGATTCATTTAGTTTTGTTGTCATTAGTGCTCCTTTGTTGTAGATTACTTACTTGAAACACCTATTTCACAAAGTACGCTTGTTCGGCCTGGCTCAATCGAGTGGCCTCGAAATCAAAACATATCGATGTTAACGATGCCCCCCATCACCTCCGTGCCCCCCATGATGCTCCTTGTGGTCATTGCTTTCAGTTTGCGTGTGTTGACTGTGTAGATAAGTTGTGTTTGTGGTGTCTTCTACTGTCCGTTGTGTTGCGTGTGTGTTCGGGCACCGTGTGGGAGTAGAAGACGCCAGAAAGGCCTGTCTCTTTTTTGTATCGCGGGGAAACGTTTGTGTACCGATATCAATTTCTTTACCTTAATTCTTCTTGGCCAAGCTTTGAATCGATGTCAGGCAGTCGCTCTTCGCGCTGAACACCTGGGAGTACGATGAACGTTAGTTGGTACTAGTTCATGGTGTTATAGCGCGACTAGAGCGAGGAAAGAAAAAAAAAAAGAAACAGGTCCGCGTGGAAGGCGCAGCACGGTCACGGCGAAAGCTAGAAGAACGGCCTTTCAGAGCCTTTTCTAAACACTCATTGGATAACTGCGGCAAGCACACTTACTTGATACCCACTACGTCATTATTAATAAAAGTTTTTGTGTAGTAGGCTGACATTCGCTGTGCTACTTCTCGTCATTCTTCTGAGAAGCGTGGCATGCGCTGAACACTGCAAGGAATTTCGTGCCCATTGTTCATGCATGAGCTGCATGACGACGATGACGAATTGTGCCTGAAGTAGGTAGGCGCCATAGTTTATAAGTGAACAAGAACAAGCTTTTGTAATGGGTTGGAGTCTTTAACGACCCACTCGTTGCGCTATTAGCAATGTGTGACGACTGGTTGTTCTTTCGCTGTTTTAAAACGTTTTATAAGTCGTAATAACACGATTGCTTTCCCGATATGAAGCCTGCCTAAGGCAAGTTTGCCAACGAGTCCCACGCACCGGCGTGGCTCAGTGGTAGAATACTTGGCCGGCACCCAGCGGTGCCTGCCCAGAAGAGACTGTATTGAATTGGCACATAAGATGAGCCTTAAGAGCGCATAGCAACGATGGACACTCTTTAACTATTCTGTTGGTCTCGTAAATAAATTTTCTTATAATTTGGTGGAGACACATAGTAGAATGCCACAAACCCTCCGACTACGCTACCTCCCAGGCAGATGCTTAGCAATGGGGGGGGAGGGGGGCATTCTTTTGATTTTGGGAAGGGCACCCCCTTCAAATGGTCATTTTTCTGTCTGCATGCCATGGCGAGAAAAAAATTTAAGGGGGGAGGGAGGGGGCTCGTGTTTGGTTCGCCACCGCCTGGGTACGTTGCTGCTCCCAGGTTCCAGTTTCTACTTGTCCCAATGTGCTGCTGCTGCATCACCCACTGATATTCAGTGGCATTGACGACCAAGACTAGTTTGGTGCTTTCAAGATGGTGAGTGCAGCAAACAGGTGACATGATGCAGCTAAGCTGGCTTGTGTACGCTTTTGCTTACAGAATTGATTACAGAATCACGCTCTGATTAAAGAATCACGAAGCTGACATTGCCAACAGGGCTTAGATTAAGGCAGCCTTTTCGAAAGTCTTCAGCCGTCCCACTGTATAAAAACTTTGCTCAGACCAGCGACTTCATGAGCACACTCAACAACTGTTAGAGGCCCTCAGCAGCTATATTGAAGACATTCACTTGCACCAGTTTGTAAACCCATCAATGCTCAAATCAGACAAGATTGAGCAGATCCTCAAGGAAACAGCTGATGACACATTTGTAAAGTTGTTAACCAAAGACCCACAATAGTCGCTTAATGCCGGAGTTTTGACACATTGCACAAGTAACACACCTAAACACGACACCTTGTGGAACAACCCCTGGCAACCAGGATGCCATATTGACTCAGATGGATTTGACGAGGTCGCCTAGCAGCCCTGTCTTTTATCGAGCAGGAGGGTTGCAATGGGGGTATGTTGGTAACATATCTTCAATAGACTTTCCTGTAGTACACTCAGGACAAATGTAGGCATAAGATGAGCAGGGCACTGTGTGTCCATGTGCGACTGTGTTTGTTTTGCCTTCTAAAGTGAGCTTCAACAACACCTACATTATCAAGCATAGCCAAACCAGCAGACACAACTAATCTGGCCCCAGCCACATGATTAGTTAAAAGGATGTACTTGAAAAACCAACAGCCAAGGCTCAAAGATCTCAATCACTGTTGCGTGCTTTACGGGCTCCCTGACTTCTGTGCCCATTCTATGCCGTCTTTTTTTTTTTATTACAACACTCCTTTGAATACTAGCTTTGGTTCTGATACTGTACCTTGACGTCACGGCATGTTGTCAGCTTCTCAACATGTGCTCGCACATATCATGACGCTCTGCAGCTGCTTCATTTCGTGGTTCGTCTGTCAAGCTAGTGACCATGTCCATACACCACGCGAAAACTGACACTAGCCAATTGCCAACCCTTAGCTGTAGTTGTACTAGCTTGTAACAATATCGCTAATATTGAGTTACTGATCATCCGATTTTATTTTACACTTATTCCACAGTGAAAGACTATTATGGTTCTCAATTGCTTTGCCTGCAATTTTCCGACTCTAGTAAGTGGTAGCTGTCGATGAAAAACTGCATTACATGTCTGTCAAGGGGGTTTTAAGCTTGGCAACAGTAATTTCATAATGACGCTCTGCATGAAGAATGGTGGTGTCGGAAGAAAAAGACATTCTTCTTGGAGCAGTACAAAAAGCAGCATTAGTGACGATGTGGAATTTCTGTCAGAGTGTTACTTGCGCATTGTCTTTGCCCTAAACATTGCTCCAGATGACAAGGTTTTGTGTGGCACCATTCTTCGAGATTCACCACACAATGTACAACTATTAGTCGTGAAATCTTCTGTTACGACAAAGCAGTGTCCGAAACATTGTGTGTTGTTGTGCATTGCATATAACAGGTACTCTAACTTTCACCAATTACCGCGGCACGCATTGAGGAAACGCGGACTTCAGCAGAAGTCTTTCTTTAGTTACTTTGCTAATTCTGAGCTCATATCAGTGATGTCATATACCTTCAAAATCAGAATTACATGGAATAAAATTATGAATATGTGATAAAAATTGGTGATATTAGTACACTTTCTAGAAGTTATGTTGGCGGTTTGAGGGTTAATGTCGAAATGAAATATATCCTGAGTATTTCCTGAGCTTTGTGCTTGTTCCGAGTTGTCTTTGTTTACAAAAGATTTGTACAGTACAGTAAGCACCTCTATGAAGGGGTACTGACAGAATGGACCTCTATCGTTTTAAGACAGTAAAGACACTCAAAAGAAAAACAATGACTTGGCTTAGATTGATAAACTACACTCCAAGAAATTTAATGCCATAAGTTTCAGTGTCATAAGTTCATTATTAGCAGAGAAAATTAGGGTTGAAGTTTCATTTTTAAATTTTTTGCCAAAATCACCGCGTGTAACATAACAAATTAGAAAATGTATTTTTCATATTTTCACGGCATCGGCTCGATGAAACATTTTAAAACTTCGTATGCTAAGTCTATGGCACCCAGAGATGACAATGTACTTCATTTTTATTGGTTAGGAGCTATATAAGCCCCGCCGCGGTGGTCTAGTGGTTAAGGTACTCAGCTGCTGACCCGCAGGTCACGTGATCGAATCCCGGCTGCGGCGGCTGCATTTTTCATGTAGGCAAAAGCGCTGTAGGCCTGTGTGATCAGATTTGGGTGCACGTTAAAGAACCCCAGGTGGTTGAAATTGCCGGAGCACTCTACTATGGCATCTTTCACAATCATATGGTGGTTATGGGATGTTAAACCTCGCATATCAATCAAGGAGCTATATAGGATTCTGGAAAAACTACATCACGGTGCTTGGTGTGGGAATTTCATGCTGGC